TGGCCTATTGATTTGCTTGGTCCTAGCTTTCACTCGCTACCAAGCTATGATCTACTACGCAGCTATGCACTACCCAGCGTTTTTAGATGTTTTGAGACTACCTTACATTTCATGGTACTTTACACCAAGCTTTTCACCTGCCCCTTTAATAGCTTACTTTTTCACGCGGGTCTCGGTATATCTCGGTGAGATGTGGAGGATCTTTTGTATGCATGTAGCCACTTTCTGCATTTGTTCAAGCCAATGGCTTGTGGCAGTGCAAATAGCAGAGTCATCTCCAGCCTCAAGACCACTTAGTTACATTTTTCTTCCCCCCCCCTGCAATCATCCGGAGACTCAAAATGTAACTTACCTACGTGGGAGGTCCCTATGTTACATTTACTGAGCCCCCCCCACCCCCTCCCAAACAGTTCACCGTAGATACCTGGGAGGACCTTAACTTACAATTAATTCTGGGCTGGGGACCCCCCGAAAATTGTAACTTACATTTTGGTAGGTCCCCCCCCCAAAACCATGGTTAGTGGGGTAGGGATGACCTAAAGGCCTATGTTCAACTTCTACTGGTATCATTGTTTGAGTGAGGCTCGCTGACGTTACAAATGCCACTCCCTCCTGCCAATGTGGTGAAGAAGTACTTGGCCATCGCAACACCTGGCAGTTGGCCACAAAAAACGCATGAAGGCCACTGGACATGACGAAACAGTGATGAGCCAAACACCCCCAAGACTGGTTGATTGGCTCACATGGGTTCATTGGCAATCAGTTTTATCATTGGTTGCTGGAAATTGTGCATCACCAATGAACCAATTACAGTACAGATCCTTACAGTAGCCTCAAGACAGCCCTACAGAGCGAGCGCCCGAGGTTCAGAGCCCATCTGGAGGAGACAACTGAGACAGCCATTTGAGAGCTTGAGAGCCGCTTGAGGGAAGCACCAGGCATCTCTGATGGATGGACTCGGATGGACCATTCTTTTTCCATTGGTTATGCTAAACGCCTGGCCTGGAGATCTATGCGTACGTATATGTTACTTGTTATACGATGGTATACGCAATAAATCCTCCTTGAATGTAGCACTTGGAGCTAGAACCTCCAGTCCTGGTTCGTCGTGGCTCATCTTGAATTTGCTCCACACATACCGCACATGCACAAATGCGCAAATCAAAACATACAAAACTGCTCATGGACCCGGAATCCCAGCGATCCGCCTGCGAGTTGAATCCAAAAGCTCGGCTGCAGCACGGCCACCTGAAGACTTGATCGAGAGCTGCACAACTTTCAGTCCGAGGGGTGATTTCTCAGTGATGCGTGATACGCCCCCTGAAAACCGCAAATGTCACAGCACAACAGTTCTCCCATGTGGTTTGTATGTGGACATTGGCGAGGGGCGGATAGATCTCTCTTGATTCCCAGCGTCAATTGCACAAAGGACCCAGGGTTCGGGGTGTATACTGCGCAGAATCGAGAAACTACAAATGAATCTCGGAGTCAACAGAATCCTGGGGAAGCATGCGGTGCAAAGGAATGAGGCAAGCGGCAAAAAATAGAGTCTACATTTCAAACCAGGCTTGTAAATTGAGGAGCTTTCTTGGAGCTACAGCAGCTACATGTACTCCCAGCCCCCCAATAACATCAAATGTTGTATCAATGTTGCTCCCAAAAGTAGGCACCATCACTCGGTTGCCGCTGCCAGAGGAGCATGACACATAACCTATCAAACCAAGGAGTCCAAAGAGATTCCCCCCAAAAAGGAAATGGTGTGGATTCAAAATCATTCAAAATCTTTTTCTGTTCCCTGCTGCCATCTGTGGTGATTCGCGCACAGCCGGCCAAAAACATACTGTGGGGCCAGCTGCACTCACAGCAGTGGGGCTTGAGACCGCAAACGGTCTCATGCAGCCTTGCGGCATCTCACTGCCTGTAGAAACACTGATGGATGACAGCAACAAACCAACTGTATAGACGACGTCTCATCGCTCAAACAAGTGAAAGCACCCCAACAACCATGCAGAACAAGGTTTCAAGAGCTGCCGCTTAAAATCGGACGCCTCACAGTGGAGGCCTGGGCGGATGAGGATCAGGATCTCAGTCTTCTTGGTGTCGGTTCGGGTCATGGATGAACTTCCAGTGCAGCTGCTTTGCCTTCTCAGAATCGAACTTCTGCCGGCACTCGGGACATTGGAAAGTTGCGTTCACCTGACAGTTTTGATGCACGGGACCGGCTGGGTGATGAGTAAAAGCTGCATGAAATGGGAGTCCCCCAATGGCGTTGAAGGGAAGTCCATACACCTAGTGTCATTGGAAAATGGGCTGATGCTGAACCGCCATCGGGGGGACGAATCTCAGCGCACAGGACGCTGATGCTTGATGATGCTATCCACCTACCATCATCTACCAAACCACTGCACTGCAGTAATTGAAAATCTGCTCATTCTCGCTGGAATGTGATTGAAACCATCCACGATGTCCATGTATGACCATTTCCGCCACTGGGGATGACAATGACAAACTCATACAAACTATGGCTGTGGGTCAAGGCTCCCCCGAAAAAATCCTCCGAACAGAAATCAATTCTGAAGTAACCAGGGTCCAAGACAGGTCGACCTGGAGGTCAACCTGCTTGGCTTCGGTTTTGACCTCGGGTTCCATCGCCTTGATGCCCACGTTCTGCGTGCTGCCATCGCCTGACCGGGCCGCATCGCTGATCTCCATCGTCTCGGGCATCACTAGCTGAGGAGCTGAGGAGCTTGGGCCGAGAACTGACGCTGAAAGTCAGTCTGAAACCCTGTGAAAACCTGTAGCTGGGAGGCATAGCAGATTCTTGTTCACACAGTTGTTGCGGAAGATTGTACAAAACTAAGAAAATCCAAATTCAGCTTCATGTCACCCTGATGTCTTGTTGCGAAAGTAAATCTTCTGGATTTGTTGGGGTTGGATCACCTCGCCCTAGCTTCACCCGCTGGTCCAATGGATGAGCACCACCTACCTGGCTGTGCAGCAAGTCATCACAAACACATAGGCGCAGAAATGCCAAGACGTAGACACCTGCTCTATTATGTACCACGCTCATCCCACCACCAAAAGATGGGGCCAACCAGTTAACCCGTGTTTGAGCACCAGCAAGGGAGCTCAACAATTCGACTCCATTTCTTTCTCCGAGACCAAGGCCCACAAGTGCCCTCCTCCACAGCCACGCCTGGTGCACGATGTATTTGTATGCATCTCTCTCCACCGAGTTTTCATCCCCCGGCTCTGAGTTGACCATGGTCAGCTGGTATCTCTTGTAGGCGAAGGTGCAAATGAAGACCTTCCGGCAATGGATTCTCAGAGATTCTCATGGTGAATATGCTGGGATGTGCTGGAAAAAAAGCAACCATTATGGAAGCGGACAGCGGACAAGCTCGAGCACCTCCTTTTTGTTGGAAAAAGGTAGGCTAGAAAGAGCAAACCACATAATACAACAATCCAAGACTTTGTGCCAACCCACGACCTGGATCTCACTACCTCTGTCCATCTTGAGGCTATCCTGCAGCCCCATCCCCATCAAAGACCATTTTTATGTGGTAGCCATAGGAACCAAAGCAGGGATACACACCCAGTTCAGAATCCTGTAACTATGCGTCAAGTGTCCTGTGTCTTCTTTATTCTTCTTTTTGGGGGCTAAAGATGCTAAAGTGCACAACTGCTTGAACTTCCCACCAGTACTTATGAGCTCAGCCACCCAAGCTTACAATGCCACGACCCTTGTGTAGAAGCAAGGTTGGGCCAACCCCTTAGAGTTGGAGTCCTCTGCCGTCGAGAATGCCATGGTTCCCACAATCGCTGTAATTACGTGCTAACGTTTCCCAGGCACAATCAGTGGCGCCAGGTAGCATAACCGATCACCGCCAGGATGGCCGACGCGCGGTTCATGCCTCGAGTTCCCAAACAGGAATTGGAGAAATGGGGAGGAATGGTAGACGTCTGAGGAGGCATAAGACGTTCACAGCCACTGACTGCCGAGCTCAAACTCTTGGCCAACCCCTGAAGACAATGCAAAGCAGTCTGGGATCCAGAGCTCATATCTGGGATGATTGTTTGGCTCATGTCTGATCGGAGTCATCTTTTCAGACCCAACCATTGGTTAAGCGGCTCCAAGACACTGAGAAAAATCTTTGGCAATGCGTGCATCAAGTAGCACTACGTAGCTTCAACACTGGTTCTGCCAATACATGCATACACCGTGCATCTTTAAAGGTCCAGGTGCACGTGCTCAAGCTCAAGTTTGCAAGCCGTTTCTAGTGTGTTATATGGGTTTGTCACTGCTGCATGCAAACTCAACATGTCAGGCTTTAATATTGTCTTGGCATTGCCAGACTTCTCATCTTCTGGTCGCTCCAAGTAGTTGAGCTGAACCTGAAGAGGTTGACGGCCTGGAACTAAACACTGGTCACTCCCCTGTGCCGAGCGGCTCACCATCACACGTGTGATCGCTGCGTCAGTCAGCGGCCGTGTGATGGAGTAGTAGGTCCCCAAAATGAGATAGACCTCGGCATAAGCTGCACATGCACGTGCATGTTGGGATTGCATGTTTTAAAAAACTGAATGAATATAAACTGCTAAATGTTATACAAAGATCTTCATGACATTCCTTCCAGTGTCTCAACGATGATCAATACGATAGGGGTATGGCACCAGCGTGGATGTACCAGGAAAAGGCCAAGAACTGTAATTGCGGAATTTCACGGAGTTTGATATCGGGGTCTATGAGTTCACATGTGAGAAAGGCTGCTCAGGTGTCCTTGTCCCATCTATATCCGCCGACCCCGCCGGTTGAAGGGGG